GTAGACGCGACGAGTAGTGGACGGAAGTAACTTACGTACGACGTTCGTTAACGTACGTTAGTTTAGTAAGACGTACGTACGTACGTACTCTCTCTCTCTCTCTCTCTCTCTCTCTCTCTCTCTCTCTTTGTGGAGTATTGATCTGACCGGAAAATTTGACTTTATTATGGTTTAGGTTTATGAAGCAATGACACCTGATTGCATCAGTAGAATTGCGAGTATGAGAGTAAGCCCAACAAACTAAACAAAGCCACCACCTTTCTTATGGTTCATTTTGCCTTAAGCTTTCTGTCTGTACTTTTAAATTTTGGCTTCTCCTCGGGCTTCTAAACAGTGTTTTGAGTAGATGATTCAGATGTACTTTAAAGTAATCAGAACATTTGGGTGATGTATTTTATGTCAGCCCTCTGTTGCACATTTTGATATCAGAATTTGTGTTGCAATCTTCAAGTTGCTTGACTTGGTTTTTGACTTGTTGCCGAAAATATTGATTACCTGTTGTTTTTCAAGTTTGTTTTGTGTGCGTGTGTGTGAGAGAGAGATAAATAATCAAAGTGAAAAGCTACACTGCTCCCATGGGAGTATACTATCCATTTGCTCCCTCCGGAAAATTTCAAGATAGGAATATATTTAGGATGTTAAAATTCTGGGGATGTAACCTACCGAGCATGCCAACCAACCTCGAAGAGGAAAATTTTCAATTGTATAATAATATATACTCGAAAATATTCCAAGATTTGAGTGGGGATTGGGGAATGACCACTTTTTAGAGGGCAAGATCTAAGCGTTGAAGACTCAAATAATCATGTAATACTTCTTAGTTGGATCCCAAAAATACTGACAGAAAAGAACTCGTAAATTCTCTTTTACCGGACGAGTTAATGTACAATATGATCCACAAGATCATGCTATACACGATCTAATAGGAACCGGGAAACTTGCGCGCTAAAGATTCTCTAGCACTACGTAGGGTTTCCTTTATTGAGTTACTATCCATCCAAGGTCCCTCTTAAAATTGTATAATGAATAAAAGAAGTTTTTTCTTGTGGCTATTATTATAGAATAAGAGAAAAATAGTTTTTTAACCCTATAGCTATTATCAAAAGAAAAAAGATTATATAAAGGTGAGGCCTTAAACAATCAAATTAAGGCACACTAGAAAAAGTTGTTCTGATGCCCAAAAATCTTTAAATTGATCATCTCAACTTCAATACGTATAGTCATGAGAAAAAATAGATTCTTAGAAATAATGCATTTTGTAATGTATTTTTTGAACCATCAATTTTCAAGATAATCAAGTGTTTATAAATATACACAATCTACATTGTTCTAGAGCCTTAAATTTTATAATTAGAGATGAAAATAAATTTTTAGGCTATCACAAACATTTCCAATATTGAAACAATACTATTTGAAAGTGTGCTTTACTTTGATTGTTTAGGGCTTCAACCTTGTACAAACCACACCCTTGTCAACATCCCTATCAAGGATTTATAAACCTACCAAGTTGGCTTGGAACTACCTAAGCCAGCTGCTAGACCCTTTAGTTTTAGCTAGCTTACACCAAATTTTTTAATTCTTTTTTTTTTCCATTTGTAATAATCAATATATAAAAATGCTTGAAGAACCAACAAGGTGGCTAGAGCTGGTATGAACTTGCTCAAAATCGGTGGGTGACCAATTCAAACCTTCAATTTGGTTTCTAAATATTGTTTTACTGTTTGAGGTTATTTTCTACACAAATGGGTTCCAAAAGCAATAGAGGCTAATGAGTGCCATTGTGTTGTTACACGAGTTAATAGTATAAACTCCACTGGGCAACAATCTAGCTCTGTATCATGTGTGGGAAAAACTATACAATGAGACCAATGACCTTTGTGTGAGGTTAAAAAACCCAAGCTAATCAAATATAATACCAGACTGGGGCTTGTCTTCAATTGTCTTGAGGACTTTGTGGAGAAATGACACTCCCCAATCTAGCATGTGAACAAGCTATTACAACACCCTTAGCCATCTGATTTCATCAAACATGAAGTGTTCAAGACAAACAGTCCCATTGTATATTTTCCCTTGCGGGTTTTTCCCCCAGAAAATGTGTAATCTCTCTCTCAATTGTTGCGCATGTAAATCTGCATATAAACCAACTATGGATACTAAACAAATTCACCATCATAACCTTTTCTCAATTAATTGGGATCCTAATTATTAAACAAATTGTAAATACTATTCTCAATTCGATTTGCCAATAAAGTCTTATCGTTCTACTGATTTTGCTTCAGTTCGCAAACACAGATACGCCGCTACAACTGATTTTGGTTGCCAAAATACTCTCAATTGATCACCTAAATACTTAGATCCCACCATTTTCCCCCAAGCTTATAAAATGGAAGAAAGCAAAAACCCATTCCAAGATCCAAGGAGTTCCACAAAACACATAAATGGCTACTGCAATGGTCATACTACTCATGTAATTTGCCCAATATGTCTTCATCTCTGAATAAGAGATACCTGAGAACATATCCAAGCATGAAAAAACATTGTTAGATGAGCAAAGAAACTTGAGAACAGTAAAATTAGGTTACAAATTAAGTTTGCAAACACAGTAGTACTGGAAAACGGAAGCACGAACATCCTTCAAACATGAAACACACACATGGACATTAGTATATAAGCATGTACTCAGATAATTGTTCACCAATACACACACACAGAGAACACACATGGACATTAGTATATAAGCATGTACTCAGATAATTGTTCACCTATACACACACACACAGAGAACACACATGGACATTAGTATATAAGCATGTACTCAGATAATTGTTCACCTACACACACACACACAGAGGACGTGGACATTAGTATATAAGCATATACTGAGATGATTGTTCACCTAAGGCTTTCAGGAAGAGAACCAGCTTTAGATTTGAAGATTTATAAGATAAAAGAGAGCCGACACTTCCTTCACTTTGCTTTTTGAAAAAAAAATACATATACAGCTTTTTGAAAAAGCAATACATACATGGACACAAACATAGAGAAAATCACATGGTTTTAGTGGGAAGATAATTCATTCAATAATAAATAAATAAAATACTAGGAATCAAGAAGATTCTTTTGAAATGCAAGGTATCCTGAAAAACTATGCAGAAACAAAAAAAATACCCCACAAACTCCACTCCACATGATGAAGGCGTTGTTCAACCTTTTTTCTAATGTTTTGAGAAAATTACATATGGACACTGTTTCCACCTGTTTATTACTAAATGAGTAAATTTTCTGCATAAATTACCATGATCATAAACCCCAACCCAAACCCCCCTCCCCTTTGGGGGCCCTTTTTTTTCCCTACAATTGCCTGCCTGTCAGGCAATTAGCACTGGACAGGAGGGAAATACACAATGTTTTCAAATGTTTTTTATTCCAATGGGAGTATACCATGTATTTACTCCCTCAACCAAAATACATGCTAGGGATACCTTTTATATCTTAAATTTGATCTTAAATTTTGCGCATATAAACTATACAACTTATAGAATAATCTCAGCAAACTAGAAGAAAAATAATGCCTCAAGATTGAATAGAGACTGTCCAATATTTGAAGGGCTAGATTTAAGTGCCATAAAACTCAAAATTCAAGTTTTTCTTTTAAAAATAATCATCTAGTAATTGCTACATGGTTCACAAAATTTGACTAAAAAATTCAATGTAGCTAGGTGTTTTGACCGAGGAAGTAGATGCACAGTCTCCGCAGAAACACACTGTATGCAATGTATAATAAACATTTGAAAACATGTGTATTTCCCTCCTGTCCAGTGTAATTGATGGACAGGCCAACAGTTGTGGGAGGGCCACCAAACGGGGACGGTGGTCATAGTAATTTGTGTAAAAATGTACTCATTTGGTAATACACAGGTGCAAACATTGTCCGTACGTAATTTTCTCTTCTTTTTTTGTGAGTGTGTGTGGTTGGGGGCGAGGGGGGGAATATCACAGGGAGTCAATGCCCCCACTATAGTGCCACTTTCTTTGATTTTTGAAGTCCAGGAAAGTAGCAAACAGCCGTAGTGGGAGTAGAACATTCCCTTGAAATCCAACGGGAAATTATCTTGCAGCACCAAAAGCGCAATTAAGGCCCATTCAATGCAGTAACCAGTACTCCAAGGTTCACTAGAATGCTACTTTCCTTGAATTAGTCCAGAAAGCATAATCCTTTCTACATAACTAAAAGCGCCCTAGTCTCAGCAAAGACCAAGGTTGTCAAATATCCAACATGGAGGTGCTAGTGAGGCCCAATGTACTACATGCCTTGATGTTGGCACATCACTTATGATGAGGTCCATACCTTTTTTTTAAAAAAGTACAAGAACAGAAAGAATATCATGTGTGATCTATGTTATAGTAGGCATTTTGATGAGGTCCATAGTTTTTTTAAAATAAAATACAAGAACAGAAATAATATCACGTGTGATCTATGTTATGGTCAGCATTTTAGTTCAGTATTTCGATCTAACATGTGTCATCTGAGTCACTGATAGCCTTATGTAGAGTAATTGATAAATCTCTTGCCTTTATTCCTTAATGCAATCAACATGTAAAATAAACTAATCCATCTAACTCATTACATTAAGTGATACTCATTTTAGTATTTGTCTCTCATTTTAATTTAGTATTTGTCTCCCATGTAGTCGCCCAAAGTCTTTCAAAACAATGTGCAAAATGAACACCCAAAGAAGCCCCAAATTTTATAGAAATCTTCAAATTCTCAAAAAAAAAAAAAAAAAAAAAATGATTACTAATTTCTTCACTTTAATCTCCTTAGAACCACGAAAAGAAAAACAGGAAAATTAAAAGACACCATTTACCTCCTTTACAGGGGAAGGAAACGACAAAATTGCCCACGCCTGATTGTGGCTACTTTTCCGCACAAGTAAGTTTCCACATAAGCGGGCGTATCATGTTGAGGGATGCACTGCATATGCAGGCATATCAACGATAGCCCGCGTATGCAGGTATATGCATTGCATCCAAGGGTGCATCCACTTCCACATGGCCACATTTGATAACTATCGCTAAGACAGCTACTTTTGATAACACTAATTATAATGCAATACTACTAAATACATTTAAGGGCCATGTATGGGGATTCTAACGGATTGGTTTATGGGGAAATGAAGAGATTAGGATCATTGGATAACACTAAATAATTCTAATGTAATATTACAAAATACATTCAACGACCGTATATGGGAATTCTCATGGATTGGTTAGGGGAAAAAATGGAGACTTCTAGTTTGTAATAGCGACTAACTATACACCACATATGGGAATTCTCATTAGTAATTTACTCCCAAGGGTAGATAAAAGAAGATTTTGATGGATAACCAATAACCCTCAAGTTTTGGAATTTAATCACTATGTCCATATAAAGTTGAAACCAGTAAGGAAAAAGAGAGTGCGAGAAAGAAGAATGAGAAAAATCCACAACAATTAGCCAGTAAGGAAGAAGAGACAGTGAGAAAGAAGAATGGGAAAAACTCCCAACAATTAGCACGAGATTGAAAGAGACAAGGGACAAGATAAAGAAATTCACATTTAGACAGGCATAAGAAGAGAAGTTCAACCTTTCATCAAAGGAAAAGAAGTTTAGGAATTGATTTTCAAGAGACAAAATCCAGGCAGACATTATCCTCTCTCACTAATGCACATCCCCTTTGAAGTACATTCATTCCATATGAACTTATCAGAGCATGAGTCTACACCACATTAGATTTCAATAGAGATGTCCCAGGCATATTGGGTTTTGGCCTACCTAGAAGATCTATAGACAAGATGCTTGAGTTTATACACATTTAATTTTGTGAATATCACCAAAGCCAATATATCATAATATATTATAAATCATGTGAGTCTTAAATTATTAATATACTGCAGATGAAGTTCACAACTATGTGACACAATCCCAACAAACAAATAAACACTACCAGTGTTTTAAAAACTGAACTGGTGGGTCAAAATTGTCATCCATGGGTCCCAAGCACCTCAGAACTGCCCAAGCTGGCTCGCCGGAGTTATTTTGTATTGAAGAATGAAAAAAATAAGAAAAACGGGGGGAGGAGGGTGGGGGGGTTCCAAGCAGGTTTAGGTGGTTCTGAGCCAGCTCACCAGTTTAAACACTAAACGATACTAATTACAAATTTTGAAGTTCACAATAACTCCAAATTAAATATGAATGCGGTTGATGTCAAGAATGTCCGAATATTAAATTTTATCAAAATCAGGTTTCTTAGTTCATAAAAATACCTGATACGATGATGCTCGTGATTTATGAATTAAAATAATGTAAGAAGTACGTCTCATTAGGCGTCAAACCTTAAAACTAGTTCTTGTTCAAATTCTACATGCAAAATTTTTAATAATATTTTTAGTGTCATTTACATGCTATGTACATCACAGGTAGCATATATAGTTCACAGACTAGCAGTCCATGGTCCACCCTCACCAACTTTCAGTTGATCTAAAAGTGATGACAACAAGTATACACACATACTTTTCCTTACATGCTTCTCCTCAAATATTTTTCCTATTGTGTTTAAAGATTACAAAGAAGCTAGTATATAGTTGCTAAGTTAAATAATACCACAGGACCTTATTGTCTCATTCATAACATTTATTGGTTTGTGTTTTATTAATCATGGACGTCTTTTATTCACATTAGCAATTTGCCACATGCCCGTTGAGTATTTATCAGTAGCCATGGGAACTATGTATGGGGCACTCGCTCAAAGATAACAGTGTTATTCTTAGTCACAATATGTGTAGTCTACATAATGTTCATCTTTCAGTTTTCATGATGTTTGGTCACCAAAATTTATGTAATTAGCACATGATACTACAGCATCGCTCAAAGAATACCTGATAATTCTAGGTTACCATAAGAAACATCGTTAACTGTCATAATTAAAAACTTAAAACTGAAGACCTAATACTTACTCTTTCTCGCCGAGCTTTACATCAGTTCCTCCATACTCAGGTAAAAGCACAGTGTCACCTTCTTTCAGACTAACAGGGACGGTGTTCCCTTCTCGATCACGAAGACCAGGACCTACTGCTACAACTTTCCCAGAATTCAACTGAACCAAAGGAATTAAAATTATTAAATACAACATTATAACATATATAAATGAAAATGTAAATACTACAAAAAGAAAAGGAACCAAAAGGCTAACATAATTGTTCTACCTCCCAAGTAATCCTATCAGAACGACAAAAGTGAATGTCACATAAACTATTGAAGAAAACGTTGAATCATAATAGCCAAAAAGACGACTAGCCAATTTGGATCTTTTCCAATTAGATAGTAAATGGTGCTTGAAGAGCTTGGTTGCCCATATAAACAATCAGAAGACTTATAAAATTTGATCTAACCATTGTATTTATGAGCAGAAAAGAACTGAAAAAATGGCTCCTGGGCCCTTCTTAACTGACTAAAAATGGATAAAGGAAAACTCAATCTGCATAAATAAATTCCAATTTAATAATTTGTACTATAACAGTACTGAAGTTTAACTACTTCGGTACCATTATAGTACAAATTATTAAATTGAAATTTAGCATTCGAAAATAAAATAAAATTTGCAGAGAAGTTGGAATTTAAAAAGGTTTAATGAGGATCAACTTGATTTTATCTCAAAGCAAATGAGATAATGGGATTTGTGATTATACAATGGCGATTGACCCACCAAATTACCATATTAGAAATAAGTAAAGCTACTGATCCAATAGAAGAATTGCAATATAAGATTATTGACAAAAAAATCATTTTTGCATAACTGCAGGCAAAACCACATTAATAAGACAGCCAAAAATATAAAATAATAACAATGTAAGGCTTTATAAACATGTGGTTGTTTTCTCTGATGCATGATAATAAAGTTGAAAGATGATGAATTTAGTATTTTCTGCGAATGCATAACAGTAAAGTTGAAAGGTGATGGTATTTAGTTCTTTAAAGTGCCCAAAACAAAATATCTCACAGAGATAATTGTAACAGTGAACAACAAGGAACTAGTAACGCACAAAATGAGATTTAATCAGGGATTCAGATATATCACCTCAATGGCTAACTCTATAAGAGTAACTATAAAAAACCACAAAACGAAAACAGATTCGCTTCTATCGATCCAAATAGATGACCCCGTAAAACCATTGAAGGAAAACCACATCTGAGTTTTGGATTCCTTTACTAGCTTAAAACTATTGCAACCCAAATACCCAATTATAATAAATAACAACATGATCAACCCACAAAGATAAAAGAGTAAAAGGATTGCAGAAATAGCAGCGTTTATTTGGGGTTTAATGGCGAACTACCTTGGTGGTTTTCTCTGGGAGCAAAATACCAGCACTTGTTTTGGTGGGTGGAACGATCTTCTCAATTAAAACTCGGTTCAATAAGGGGATAAGCCTCTTGGCCATGGCTGAAGAAACTGTGAACAAAAAACAGAAGAACCACCCAAAAACCCTAGTTTTGGCAAAAGCTTTTTGCTTTGTTCACTACTTAACTGAGAAGGGTTTAGGGTTTATCAGATGGGCATACACAATGAAGTCCAGAAGGACAAAAGTGTCCACAAATTGATTGGGAAATACCAATAATGCCCTCAATAGGGTGAGAAAATAACAAAAATGCTATTCCTCCCCAAATTTTGGAGGGAAAAAAGAATTAGGAAAAAACGTTATAATGTAGAGCTATGGTGTACCTAAAAACCCCATCAAAAATATTATTTCATCCCTAACAAATTCTCCAATTGATCATATATATATATATATGGATACAAAAAAGAAAATGAATTACAAGTCTTAAAAATTGTATATTGTGTAATATGTTATTTGGACAGTCCATTTTTAAGATGTTTGGATGCTCATTAATGTGCTAGATTTACACCATTTTCGAAGCTTTCAAGATCATTATAGGGGTTAAAAAAATACTTTTAAGCCATGATATGGGTTTTGGCACCAAAAATACATTCTTGAGATTTTAAGGGGCACCTTTATTGTTTAAGGTTTACACCTTCAACAAACTTCACCCGTAAGAATATGCCCAAAAATATTATGCTCCCACGGAGTATGCTGTCTATTTACTCCCTCGGATCAAACTTGGGACTAATTTTAGAATTACAAATTTGGGGATACAACTACTTCAACCCAAAAATTAACCTCGATAAAGAAAAAAAAATCCTACTTTTACAGTCTATCATCCACTTAGAAAAATGAAAGTCTCAAAGGTTGATCAGAGACCGTCCAATTTTTATATGGTGAGATCTAAGTGTCAACTAGTGATTCTTCGATGGTTCAGATTGAACAAAAAACTCCCGAGTAGGTCTATTGACCGAGGGAGTTGTACACTTTGTTCAAGTGGAAGTATAGTATACTCGCTCTAGCAATATTGCAGCGAAAACAAAAATTTACATCAACCTTAAATAATCAAAGTAAGATGCATCTCTAAACCTTATTATTGGAAGATTTCGTTCTATTGGGTATAAACTTTACGATGAGCTAAAAATTAAAAGGTACAAAAATGGTGTGGATCCGATAGATAGACAAGCATTTGAAAAACTAGAAAATAGTTAATTCAACTGATACGTTGTATGATACACTATTTTTAAGACTTGAAACCAACTCTTTCATATCCATATATCTCGAGGTCAAGATGATTGATATGAAGATTTTTTAGTGTCAAGATAATCTTTTATAGCAAGTTTTAAAAATGCGCATCACTTATGGTATGAGGTTGACGCCTTATATCGGTGTTTTTCTTACATGAAAAGTTAAATTTTCATAATTTTTTCATTTTACTCATGAAATCTAGATATAAATTTTTATATTTTATATTTTATATTCGAGTCTCACTTTTTTTAGAACAACTAAAATATTTTAATTTATTATTTTATCTATATATATCGAATTAAGCTCAATTTGGAGTGCTCTTCCTCAACATCCAACATCATTAAAACATATCAGCGATTAGACAGTCTCGTTAAAGAAAAGTTTTTTTTTTATTTAAATGAAATAAGTCAGGTACGATGGATTCTAAATTTTGCTCACATCTAGGTCTCACCTAAGCCTCCTCAATAAAACAAATAAATATGCATATGAAAATTATGAGGCAAAATATATTTGTATTATTTTTTTAATCTGGCCCATACAATTTCCATTATACATCTCCACTCTTTAAAAGGTGCTTAGCTGTGGTGTATTTTGGCTTTGTATAGAGTTAATAGTAGTAGAATAAACAGGTGAACAAAAAAACTCTCTTGCAGTAGAATAATGTCTTTTTTTTTGTCATCTTTTTCTCTCTCTTTTTCATTGGTTTAATGTTTCACACACATACACAACACCAAAGTACAACCAATGGTTTAGCACGGGTGGGTCCATTTGAAGAGAGATATATCCTATCTCATAAAGGAGTTGGAGCTGGGTTGTGTCAGGTAAGCAGTCAAAAAAAATCTTTTCTAAAATTTTATCATAAATCTTGAACTTATAGTATCAGTGGAGCGAAATGACTGAACAAAATTAATGTATCTGACCCGAAGTAGTCGGGATAAATCTCGAATACTTATGATAGTGAGAGAGAGAGAGAGAGGAGCCGCTAGCCTGAGTATCCACATTTGAGAGGGTTTGGATTCTCTCGAGTTCTCAAAATTATATACCTAAATCCAAGCACCCTAGATTACTTCAATAAGTGTGAAGAATATATATCATATAAGAAGGAAATACATGCTTCCCTTTGGCTAAATGGAAATGTTCAGCAATATATTTTAAATGCAATTCAACAAGTAGATATAGTGTTTTAAAATAAGGTGCAGTTTGCATAAGGTTGCAATCTTAAACGATCAAAGTAAGGCGCACCTCTAAATTTTATCATAAGATGTAATTTTTGTGTCAAAATTTTGTAGGACGGCTTGAAAATCTTTTTTGATATCTTATTATAAAATTCTAAAGTAAAAAAATAGTTCAAATCAAGTAGATCTATAAACACATGAAAATCTTGAAAACAGACGGTCTAAAAATATGTTGTAAGATACATTATTTTCAAGACTCGAAATCTTCTTGTTCTTCTTGTTTCATACATCTCGATGCCGAAACGATTAATTCCAACATCAAAACAGCTTTTTTCTGATGGATTTTTGAGTTGCGCCTTAATTATACCATTTAAATTGCAACTTTATATAAAAACTTTTTCCTTTAAATGTATATAAAAGATTTAAAAATAGTTCAAATCAAGTAGATTTATAAACACATGAAAATCTTGAAAACAGACGGTCTAGATAATATGTTGCAAGATGCATTATTTTCGAGACTCGAAATCTTCTTGTTCTTCTTTTTTCATACATCTCGATGCCGAAACGATTAATTCCAACATCTAAAATGCTTTTTTCTGATGGATTTTTGAGTTGTGCCTTAATTATACCATTTAAATTGCAACTTTATATAAAAACTTTTTCCTTTAGATGTATATAAAAGATTTAAATTGCAACTTTATATAAAAACTTTTTCCTTTAGATGTATATAAAAGATTTAAATTGCAACTTTATATAAAAACTTTTTCCTTTAAATATATATAAAAGATTTTAGTGGGTTTTGAATTAGCTTTACAAGTGATCAAATTAGTATCATCTTTGTAGGAATTGAGCCTAGGATGTAATGTTGCAAATCTCGAGCGCTAACCAATTGAGCTCATCTCTTTTTCTTGAAGTTTTTTTGAGTTGGACTAGAAGTGATCCGGGTCCCTGAATCGAACTGACCTCGAACCACTAGACTTAGGGTGGTGTATAAGTGCCGTGCATGAAATATGCCTCACCGTTTTAGTTGTACGTCTTTCACTTATCTTAAGCCAAATAATTTTGTGCTCCTGGAGAATCAAACTGCTCAAGTATTCCCTCAAAAAATCGGACAAAACCAAGCCAAGGGTATTTTTAGGGTCTCAAATTTAGAGGATGTTTTATATCATTCTAAAGACCAATTTCTAAAAGAAAAGAAAATATATATATTATTTACAAAGAGACCATTTATCTTTTGTACATGGATGTCACTATCATTCTCGTCCCTTAAATTTCAAAATAGATGGTTATAAGAGTGTCAGTGAATAGACAGTGTTTAAAAAAGAAATAAAAAATCTTGAATTTTGTGACTCATCCAAATCATCTAATTTGACATCTAATGAGTGAGAATGATTGTAACCTCCATTCACAAAAATAAATAATTTATTTGCAAACAATCCCAAAAAATAATACTATTAATTAACGAGGTCTTTTTCTCGAGGAGTTAAAGTATATAATATGTTCCTTAATGTGCATGCCCGACCATGGTTTCAATTTCAACCCCGGAATTTCATGGGCACACGTGTATGCAATGAATTCTCCAAAGGTTCCTCAATAATTAATACTATTAAGAAAATAGTTTAATAGGGCAGCAGCTCTATCAAAATAAGTAAAGCCTCACCTTATAACTCAATTTAACAAATAGTGTATACTGTAACAAATTATCTAGACCATTCATTTCATCCTAAAAGTAAGTGTTCAAATATCCGCAAGATCTATATAATTTTTTAAGTTTTGAATTTGATTATCGGTATAAATTGATTTTAGAGCCCACATGAAGATTTATGTTGCCAAAAGTCCTTTCCGGATGAAGATATGAGATGCCTCATCTAAACTATATTTTTTTATTACTTTTTTTTTGTTGTCAAAATAATCAACATCTTTGTACCAAAAGACTACAATCCTTTGGCACTCAAATAAAATAAAATATTTCATAAATTTTGTAATAAATTATTATGGATTCTCCACAAAGAGATCATTTATCTTTGAATAATTGTTTCATGCAAGCTGGACTGTATTTCTATAATATGTGGTCCGGTATAAATCATTCATCTTAAAGGTGGATGCAAATGGGTGGTTCATCTAAAAACAATTGTAACTAATGGTCCAAATGTTTTTAAATATAATTATTATTTATATTTTTCCAAATTTATTTATTTTTCATATTCATGATATATATTTGCTAAAAATTAGGATCAAATTATATTTTAAAAAATATATTTATTATTAAGCCTGCATTTCTACAATATGTGAGCTAGCTGCATGCTAACCGAGTCCTTTATCTTTTGTACATAGGGGTCACAACCATTCTCACTCATTAGATGTCAAATTGGATGGCTGGGTGTGAGTCACAAAGTCCGAGAATATTTTTTTTAGAACTTTGTGTCGATTCGATGACACTCTTACAACCACCCATTTTGTGTCTACAATATGCGATCCTAAGGTATAAACCATCCATCTTAAAGATGGATGCAAATAGGTGGTCCATCTAAAAACAATTGAAACTAAGGGTCCAAATGTTTTCTTAATATTATTATTATTTCTAATTTCAAAAGGACCCGGTTTCTATGCAGCCAGCATGCATATTATAGAAATGCCGGCTTGGCGATAAATATATTTGAAAATATAATTTTATCCTAATTTTTAGAGAATACATAATCTTTAACATGGAGATCATGAATATAGAAAAAAATAAAATTAA